TACTCGATGGTGGCCTCTCGGGTCCTCTTCGCCGGCGTCAGCCACGAAACGCCGCTTTCTGGCTAGTCAATTTCGCGGCATTGTGTGAGAAATATGGCGGAAATGGAGTTCTTCCGTTGCGTGGCTCTGCGAGATATACGGTCTCTTTTCTTCCTGTCAATCTCGTAAGAAAGCGCCACATCGTGAATAGCTTTCCGATGCTCGCACACGCTGCCGTGTCTTCCTGCGCCTGTCATTCTGTCGCAACGTATCCTCTTTCAGAGCGCACTGCGATGCATCTGTTATTCTAGCAACTATGGCTGGACCATCAATGGCCATAGTGTCGCAATGAGAAACAAAATTACAAAGAACAAAAGACGCGTTAAAATGAATACAAAAGAATAGTATTAGTGATGTACGTACATTGTTGCCTTTAAATAAAAATTTAGTGGAATGTTATTTGTCATGATAAATTAATGATTATTTTTTAAGAACAATTTAGTGAAGTGAGAAGTTCATTTATCATAACAATATATTTTTTATTAGATAAAAATTTAACAGAACCAAAATGTTTATTTTTGCTATGTATAGTGTTTATTTTAAAATAATTTCTACTAATTTAATTGTTGAAAAAGGAATGAAAGCTTTTAAGGAATCGATTCAAACAAAACAGTTCGTTACAGACAAACAGAATTTTATAGTCACTAATCCGCTTAAAGAGTGAAAGTTTCTGTTTTCAAATCCTTAAACTCTTTTATCTTCAAGTCTTTCCACTGTTACTCTTTATCCAAATTTAGATGTAAAAGAGTTGCTTTGCAACAAAGTTGTCCAATTATTGAATTAACACAGTTTGTGCAGTGTTCGCAAATAACGTGATTATAAATCCTGAAACTCAGTATATGTGTATGAAGTTAGCCCCACACTTTAATAAAATTAAAATAATCGAAATTGTACTGCATTGTACTAGTTTTGTACCAAATTGTACCGTAGTTAATTTTTTGAAATCACGCGCGGATTTCCAAAAAATCGAAATTTTTGAATTTTTTGAGTAGCCCCACACTTTTCGAAAAATGATTTTTTCTCGACTGTACTACATTGTACTAGTTGTACCGAACATTGTACCGTTTAAAAAAAATTTCTAACAAATTTGGATTTTGAAAAAAACGAGAAAATCGAAAAATTAAGGACATTACGTAATTACGGCAAATCGGCTATTTTTAAGATATCGAAACGCGGCCAACGGAGTTCGAAAGAGAATCGATTGTACCGGTTTGTACCACTTTGAATTTTGTTTGCACCTCAACCGGACCGGAAGTACCGAATTTGCAATTTTTAACAATACGTAAATACGGTAACTCAGCTGTTTTTTAAGATATCGAAACGCGGCCAACGGGGTATATATTTAAATAAAAAAAATTTCAAAAAAATTAGGCCCATTGGCCGCGTTTTGATATCTTAAAAAACAGCCGAGTTACCGTATT